ATTTAGCTAAGATATACTCCTCCGTCTCATATTATAAGCTCATTGAATAATTATTGTATCTGACCTATATAGACCAGATACAATAATTATTCGATGAATCTTAAAAAGTGAAATTTACTTATAATATGGGAGAGAGAGTATTTGTGATAAATTTTAGGCCCTATGCGGTAGTCCTCCTTGTACGCTCTTAAAGACGGTCTTGACTACTTGTCTCGAGTTTTGCAGGGTATATTTACGGGAAGATGTGGGACATCATTAGACCATGGTGTTACCGCTGTTGGGTATGGAACAGAAAACGGAATTGATTATTGGATAGTGAAGAACTCATGGGGTAAGAGTTGGGGAGAAGCAGGTTATGTAAAAATGGAGCGAAATCTAGCGACAAGCGTGTTAGGAAAATGTGGAATTGCAATTCATTCTTCCTATCCTATAAAGAAGGGCCAAAATCCTCCAAATCCTGGACCATCTCCTCCTTCACCTTTGAACCCGTCCTCATGACTATCCCATTTGCAACATTCGCCCAGGGACCTGTCTTAGGGTAAATGCTATATAGGAGTACATATATATTTGACAATAGCATTGCATTATCACTAATTATGCACTATTTGAATTGGTTTGTGTTGCAAGTAATGATAATCCATTTGGAGTGAAGGCAATGAAGAGAACTCTGGCTAAACCGCATTGGACATTTGAAGGTCAGAATGAAATAAATGTTTCTTAAGTAGATTATCACCAACTTGGCACTCATGTTCTTTCTTTCCTTTCATTATCTTACTGGTAAAACGATATATTCACAATTAACGACCTACTTGGGATGCTGACAGGTTTCATGCAGAAGTATGGAGATCCGTTTGTTTTATTTTGGTGATGTATTTGTATTCTAAAATTTCTACCTATGAGCATGTGTTTGATTATTGTTTCAAACTTGTAGATTCTGGAATAAGGTGATTTATTTATTCACCTGTTAGTTTATAAATGTCTAAATGTCCTATTGATTTTGATTTTCAGTAAGAGTAGTCTTGATAGTTGAGACTCATGTATCCACACACATATCACATATCACATATGTGATAAATATGAAGTCCACACATATATGGTATTGATATCTTTCATCCTCATGGCCCTCCATGTAACTATCAGTCTTGCAAAACTAAAAACATACTAACGTAGAAAAATAATAGGCGATTACACCGTTTACATCTCTTTCAAAGAGGATCAAATATGAATATGAGTTTATAGTGAGCTACTAAACAAAAACTTCATAAGTAAAAAGTAAAGAAAAATGATAAAAGATAAATTGTGTGTTTGGAAACTTGGTGAGTCACCATTACCTCATGTTTTTACACCGTGATTTTCCTATTAGTGTTAGCTTCTATCTAAAGTGCGACCACACTGTGAATTTTGAGTTATTTCAAACATAGGCCAAATGCAATAAACGAATTTGTTTGATTGACTGTGAGTCAAAAAATGAAATGTTCAAGATGTATTTATAGGAAAATTCAATGTTAAAGCATAATCGACAAAATCTATCTCTCTGATTTGCCTCATTTAATCTCATTCGGATATTCTAGGGGATAATAATTTCCATTAATGGATTTACATATCGCATCAAGTTTGGCTCGATTTACTCCATCTCGCGAGATTTCCATTTTCTTCCTTCATGCTTGCACACAATTTCAAATTATGGCAATATAACATAGATCTTTCAAACATGGAAGATATGTTATAATGCTAAGTGTCAATGTTAAGAGTTATTTGATAAATCGAGTTCATGTAACCGGTTAATACGTGTGTGTAACTGGTTACATGCGTCAAAATAATTGGTTACATATTCACAAAATTATAGCAGTTGTAATCGGTTACAGGTTCAGGAATTTTGAATTTCTGCTATTTGGTTTATGTTGCTTGTGTCCCAATCCACTTGTATTGTTTGTATAAATGTCTTAGATACATCTTTATCAATGTTAATGAAAATATACATTTCCACACTCAATTCTCTCTCTCTCTCTCTCTCTCTCTCTCTCTCTCTCTCTCTCTCTCTCTCTCTCTCTCTCTCTCTCTCTCTCTCTCTCTCTCTCTCTCTCTCTCTCTCTCTCTCTCTCTCTCTCTCTCTCTCTCCACATACAAACCCTCCATTTTCACTAAAGAGTGATTTCAAGTTCTAACATTTGGCATCAAGACCTTGGTTCTGATCCATCAAACACCTAATGTGCAACATGAGTTTTGTCTTCAATGAAAGAATCCATACAAACCTATTAATCCTTAATGCGAAGAATTACTACAAACAGTACAATCAAATGAAAGTGTTGTTTGACTACCAAGATGTTCTTGAAGTGATCAAAAACAGGGTGAGTCCTCTTGTTGAAGGTGCAACATATGCACAACGAGTAACATATAAGGAAGAGAATAAAAAAGATTACAAAGCGTTGTTTTTTATCCATCAATGTGTGGATGGTGACAACTTTGAGAAAGTTGGTGATTACGAATCGTCAAAGCAAGTGTGAAAAATCTCGGAAAAGGCATATGTAGGGGCTGACAAGGCAAATGTGATGATGTTACAAACTCACAAACGTCAACTCAAATTAATTCAAATGGAGGAAAAGGAGACAATTAACGATTGTGTGACGAGAATTATTCGATTGGTGAACCAAATTAAGACATGTGGAGAAACTGTTACTGAGAAAATGTATCGAAAATCTTACGTTCTTTGACGACAAGATTTGATAACAACGTGATAGCGATTGAGGAATCAAAAGATCTTGCGACAGGGAGCAAAGAGGAGCTTTAAAACTCTCTTGAGGCTCATGAGCAAATGATGGAGGAGAGAAATAACAATAAGGCAAAGGAGGAGATCGCTTTTCAAGCTCGATTCAATGTGAATTTTCAAAATTTTGGTGGAATATGGTCCCAAAATTCGAAGAATTCGACTTGTCAAAAGAGTGAGAGCAGATACAACAAAAATGGTAGTCAAGTCAACTTTAGAGGTGAAAAGAGAAAGTTTGACAAGAGCAAGGTGTAATGCTTCAATTGTTAAAAGTTCGGTCATCATGCAAGAGAGTGCAACAAGAACAAGAAAGAAACTCAAGAGGAAGAAACCAAGTTTTCAAGACAAAAGTTTGGTGAAGAAAATACACTCTTGGTCATGATCATAAAAGGGGAATGCAGCAGCAGTCTGCGGAACAACAACAGTATAACACCTTAAACCCCAAAACTCATTTTCTTAATTATAAAAGTCATTTTAATTCAGGAACAAGGTATCACACCTTTCTCATAACAACATATTTCTCATATTAAAACAACACAGCGGAAATTAATAATATATTGTCTAAACTTAAAACTTCTCATAACTTATCAAAACAAACAACATTGATCTCAACAACGGGAAATTAATTTGAAAATTTTAGAAAAATAAACCAATTGAAAAATATGTCTTGATGTTACAATATCAGAGCAACACTGTAGAAACTAAAACTCAAAACGATGAACATAAATAAGGAAGAAGACCATAAGTGCCATTCCTTGATTCAGTAACTACTGCTTGCTACCTGTATTTGCAATATAGGCATAACAAGTCATACTACTGTAGCGATTGGTTTTTTTAATCAGAGTCGCCGCTATTAGTTTTTATCCTAGGGAAGAGAATCTAATAGAAAACCCTAATTCGCAGACAGAGATTCTAGGTTTCGGACTTCATTAGATGAAAGGAAGGTGTTAGACACCTTTCATCTACCTTGTTCACAAGGATATTAGGTTTTAGGTTTAGGTTCAGGTAAAATAGAGTTTTAAGTTTTAATTAGGAGGAAAAGGGTTTTAATTTTTTTAATAGGGAAAGAGTTTAAATTTTTATAGGGGAACTCGCTACGACCTTCGATGTATTCTATTATGAGGAATCAGAGTCCCAATTCGTAGTTCACAGTTTGGTTGGTGTTTTTTATATATTACGCAAAATCGCTTTCGAATTAATCCTTGAACTTTGTCTGGGTTATAAATTGAGTGATTGTAGACGTAGTTCGCAGTTAATTTGAAGTAAATTCTCCTTAATCTTTTTTTTTTAAAATATCTTGTAATTTTTGTTAGGTTAAAAATGATATGAGATTGGTTAGCTGTTTTGAGTATTTGATTTGATTAAGACGTGGAGCAGGGGAGTCTGATATAGTCTCCTCCTCACGTGTTCTCATCGCAGGGCTAGATATTGACCACGTGTTGTTTGTCATGAAGGATGCAGAGGAAGTCTGATATAGTCTTCCTCACCATATGGCCAGATATTGGCCACATGTCACTTATCGATAATTTTAGCGAGTTACATGGATTTTGATATTTTTTATAAAATATTGAATTAGTTTTATTTAAAAGTATTTGAATGTGTACAAAAAATAAATTTCTTTCTAAAAACGAAAAGTATATGTTTGTTAGTGTTGTGGTTAATGATTAAATTAATCAAATCTAATTATCTAACTTATAAATCTAATTAATAGAAAGATTAACGTGAATAATCAAATTTATTTAAACAAAGGGGGTGTATATATTCTAAGATTATGTATTACGTTTAGTATTTGTTTGATATAGCCTAAATTCTTAAACCTGGAAAAATCCCAATTAAGACCTAAAGAACATTAACCTAATTACTAGCATCCCAAAAATTAAAACCTGATTATTAAGTAATATACATTATATGCATAAAATGAATAACAAAGAATTAAAATAAAAACCAATATAAGCACTTGAGGGGGAGGTCCCCTTCTACCATGATTCAGAAAAGAATTAGGCCACAAACAAATGCTAATTTAAACCATTACTCAGTCAGACTTAATCAACCCTTTAAAAGAAACCAATAGGAATAGTACAAGTGTCCAATTAATAATAATAATAAAAAAATAATAGAATACATGATATACATACATGTGATAGTAAGGAGAGAGTGAGAAGTCAGATCAAAATCCGGTTTACTCCACTTTATCTTCTTTTCTCTTCGACCATGTCTTCTTTTATCTGCTTCATCTCTAGCAATCAATTAAACAACTATTACCAATACAACATAAGTGAGAACAGAATAAATAAGTAGTTGAAAGAAGGGATGTAAAGTCGGGAAAGAACTTCTCGATGGAGAATGGGTCGTTCAACATAGATACGGCGAAGCCGCCGTGGATCTGGACGGAGGGAGTCCCATCGGAAGTTGTGCGGCTGAAATCCGGCGGCGATGGTGCTCCGCGAAAAGAGGCGAAAAACGATTTTCGTCGGCAGCAAAGCTGCTCGTGGAGGAGATCGGTCGGCGTGGAGGTGCTTTGCCGGCGGAGATGCAGAGGGCGGTATTGCATTAGGGGTGGTGGTTGGGAACCTCGGAGTTGTGAGCGGCGATGTTGAGCTGTGGCTGTTGTTATTCTTCTTTCCCTACAAAACCATATTCAAACTTCATCGATTTTGTTAGTGTTACTGATGTATCTTCTTGTTTGTATTGTTGTTTTGAAAAACACAATTTTGTGTATTTTGGGAATTGGGTTTTCTTTGGAAATTGGTTATGCCTTTTTTTGTTTTGATTACAGGGTGCCTGGTTGGACTGATGAGGGTGATTTATGGAAAAACATAAATTTGGTTCATATGCCATTAAAAAGATACAATAATAGAACTATAATTGTGGGTTGCAGTAATGGTTTCGTGGAAAATGTGTTATTTGAAACTATGAATATTTACAGTGTGTTTTGTCCGTGAATGATAAAAGATAAAAGATTAGTGTGAATGGAAGTGTGTATAAAAATTGGTATCCGAAAAAAAGTCAGTAAAAAATATAATTTGGAAAATAAACTATTATCAATATGATCATCATACGACAAAAATAACAAATAAATTAAAATTATAACCAAACAAAATTAATACTGAGAGGTCTGATATATAAATTATTGGTTAAAAATAAAGAATGAATATAATACTAAATAATATTGAAAAGAAAGAGAAATTGTTCTTGGATTGTTGTCTGATATAGTCAACAATCCTAGAATTCCGTCTGTTTGTGAATGAATTGTGAATATTTCTGGAGGTTTCAGGATCTTTCTGGATGAAAAATTAGGACAACTACAAGTGAGATTTGAACCTGTGATTTTTTGTTTGTCAGTCTTTCTTCCTTACCAATTGTGCTATGTTACTTATTCGAAAGTAAAAAGTCAATTGAAAGTATATGACAGCGAACTATTATTTTTTATTTTTACAAAAATATAAATAATTATTATATTTTCAAACAGACTTGAAAGAAAATTTTTATTAAAAAAAACTCAGAATGTTAATATAATTAAGTCAAATGAATTTTATATCTGTAACACCAAAATTAGAAAATAAGTTTGACGGTAGCACTAAGGCGAGAAAATTTAGGGTATGACAACTACAAAAGAAAAGAGGGGTGAGAATAACTTTACAGAAGTTATTGGTATATAAAACAACAAAGATAACATATATAATCACAACTCAAACATATACAACAATTCTCTTCCTCAAACAAATAAAATGCACATATGAGATGCTATGCAATCCTCCTCCAATATGCATGTGGTATAAATTTTTTGGATGTCTGAGTTATCTTACGAATTTATCCACATCTCCAATTCCCCTCTGGAAACTTTTCTCTCTCAACAACGAGATCGTCCCTGGTTCTCTCTGAACTCTGGACCTCACTGGAACGAAGTCCTACCTAACTTCAATATACATGTATGCATGAACATATAATATCATTCACAACTCATAATCAACCAACAAATAATATCTTGTCCTCAAAACAAGATTCTCTTTGTATCATCTCAAAACAAGGTTCTCTCTGAACCACAAATTTCCCAATGTAAGGTCAAAGAATAATTCTCTCTGAATTACTCAATTCACCATTACACAATTAAACTCAATAATTATATAATAATTCTCACAACTCATCAATAGAGTAAAATTATATTATTACTCTTAAATACTCATCAATAAAGTAATTATATTATTAATTATGTCAAACCATTGATAGGGTAATAACCATTTTCTCAAGTCATATTCTGTTTCTTAACTCAATTCATAAAATATCTCAAAAAGATTCTAAAGAGTCGAACTTCTCAATTTTAACTCCGAGGCTCGTTAGATACACTTTAAACAACTCGAAGTCAACTCAGACAACTCTAAAACATGTCAACTCAACTTAAAACAGAACCAACTCAACTCTAAACAGTTCTACAACAATCTCTACAACTATAAAATTATTCAAAATAACTCTAGAATACTCCAAGGTACTCTAAAGTTCTCAATTGATAACTTTAACATTTAAAAATAAGTCTAATAAACTCTATTGACTGAACAACTCTAAAGAGTCAAATAGTTTCTTTCAACTCTAAAGCTCATCAGATCTAACTCTAACAAGCTCTCACATAACAAATATGACTCTTAAACTTATCAACAAGGTAGCGAAAGGTCATTGAACTCAAAATTGCTCAAACATTAAACCTAACTTTAAAATTTTCTCACTTCAAAATAGAACAAGTATTATAGACTTATGATAATATTATAAAACTCTTTAGTCTAAAAGTTCTTTAAACTCTCTTTCAAATGCACTTAACCGCACCTCAAACAAAGCTACATAACTTCAATTTTATTCGTTTTAGTTCAATATTATTGCAATAAATCATGCATAAACTATAAAACAAAATGTCAGACTTCAAAAAAATTTCTAAGAGCCACATAGTGTTGTCATAAGGTTGAACTTTAACTAATACCATATCTCTCACTTGTAGTTAGATGTCCTTTCACTTTTTGTTTGCACGATGCTTCATTACTTGTTGCGCACTAGTCATATTTTGTTTCATATTTTCTAGGATCTCATTTCATTTTATGATTTTTTTTTCATGCACCTCCATTGAATCATCTTTATTGAGCATAAATCGTAGTAATTTTGGTGGATCTCTGCCATAAACAACCTTGTAAAGAGTCATAAAAATAATAGTATGATCAGATGTATTATACTAGTACTTTTACCATGCCAATGCTTTGTACCATGTTTTAGTATTGTTAAAAGTGAGGCATCTTAGATACATTTCAAGACAATTGTTTAATGCTTCTGACTATCCATCAGTTTGAAGATGATAAGTTGTGTGCATTTTCAATGTAGTAAGGGCCAGCCCAACATAATGTGATGCCTAAGGCGAATATTAAAGGGGATTTCTTATTCCATCTCATGTTTTTCTAGCGCACTACAAGAAATTCCAAAAATATTCTTGAAAATCAGAAATATATTTCCGATTTGCACCACACACATGTAATTTATTCGTTTTTGAGATTTGTCCAATTTTACAGTAAAATTGATACTGAAAGTGCACTTTCAGTAAAAATCGGAACTATATTTTCGATTCCTAAAACGCTTGAACTTCAATGAAGAGATCTTTAACTGCAACATAGAATCATCAACAAAAATAAGTGAGATGCAGTCAAATTCCCATTCCTTTTTTTATGCATCAGTCACTTAATATACAAAGTGAGAATACTAGTAACAAATATTTTAAGGATACTACTATTATTAAAGGAATTAAAATTTTAATCATATCAAAAGTTTTTAGGCTTCATGAAAACACAAACAAGCCTTACAAATATGTTTTGCATATATTTAGGAACCAGAAGTATACTTTCGATTTATACCGGAAATGCATTTCCGATTTTGTGTAAGTGCAACTTAAAAAAGGTGCCCACCAGAAATTCATTTCCATATTTCGAGCAGCATTTTAGGAATTGCAGGAATTGCATAAGACATTTCTTTTGAGTATGGGATGAAATATGAAATGCCCATATTAAAATGAGATATTTTATTATTCATCCATTATAATTAAAATATTTTATTTTTAGGAGATGTTCTAAAATATTTTTACACTGATTTGTTTTAAAAAAACCATATTTTAATGCAACAAAATGCACATACTTGGTCAATATATTAATGACCACCATAATATAAGTGTAACCAAATGAATGAGGCGTGCATGTTATCTTCTCATATTTTATTTGGAATTGGCAATGGTTAATGGACTCATGTTGAATGTAACACTCTTCTAAACCTCACACATATTTTATGAATAATTTAATTAAAAATTACCCGCATTGGTGCCAAATCATCATAATAAAACAATATAAAATACAATTTTGCTTCGTAACACGGATTATCACAAACACAATTATATTTTTCATGAACATACACTTTCATAATAGCTATATAACTTTGATATTTAATTGAAACATCGCAGTGGAATCATCATTCAAATTTTATCCTCAAACATAAAACTCGTTGCATTAGTTTAATAAAAGATTTGAACTACAACTGGTTTGAAAATAAAAAACCTTACAAAATCTTCGACATAGTTATAACAAAAAGGAAAAAAAACCAAGCGTTCCCAACCCGATATTACATATCAGAGCAAGACACCTCTAAATTAACGGTAACTAATAAATACTCCAAAAATGCTATCTTCAATTCTTCAGCAAGCTACTCCTGAGTATATGCGTGTTACACACAAGGAGGCAACATTCAAACAGAAGGGATGAGTAATCATAATCAATCATAAAAAGCATAAGAGAAAGGTAAGTTGCAATAGTATACTCTACAATATAACAACATCAATACAATATATACTCACACCTTCATTCAACATAAATAGCTCACATATGATCACATAACAACTTACAAATATCTTCATATCATAATTCATCAACAAAACTCAATGCAATGTCACATAGGATGTTAATGCAACAACACTAAGACAATGCATATGGTACCATAACATGAACACTTAGGTTTCACTCCCTGATCCCCACCATAGAATCTATTTCCTCTTGAAACTGGAGCATACCAAATCGCTACCATCACCATAGATGACACTTCACTAAATCTCTAGACAAAGGATCTAGCTACTCACACTCGAACCATCACCATAGGAAACGAGGCCACAACATAATTTAGGACATAAGTCCCACAACATGAATGCATGATTCATAGCATGCAACAACAACAACATCACTTATGTTTGACCACGACTAGTCAATGGCAACACTAATAACATCACCATCATCATCATCACATAGCATGTTTATATTTGAACATGTATCATCATCAATATAGACCTCATAGAAACATATAACAACAACAATCAAGTTTTATCATTGGAACCAACCTTCATAGCATACAAAATATACAATAATCCAATTTTAACAAACATCGACACAGGAAAATGCTAATTGCAAATTGAAACATCTCTGCATATTAGCTCCCTAACGCTTCAAATGACGTGTCAATCAGATTCACGAAACTACAATTACGATT